TGGCAGTGCAAGACAGGTTCCTGCTGAGGAGCATGGCTGAAGTAGATGTAGTAGATGGAGCCTGTTCCCATCTCCTCACAGCCCTCTGAGGGGAGCCTGAGGCACTGAGGATGGCCCAAGAACAACATTTCCTTTGAAATGAATTTCCAGCTCTTCAGCTGGACTGGACCTTCTGCAGGACATCTCTGTGGGTGTCCCCAGAGGGTGACTAGCCAGGGGTGGCTGTGCTGCTCAGGAGAGAGGCCACAAGCCCCCCTCCCTTTGTTGGGCTCACATGGGGCAGAGAGAAGACCTGACATCAGATCTGGTGCCCCTTCCTGCCCCCTCCTCCTCACCCCTCCAGACTTTTGGTTTCGGGCACCTAGCACAGAGCTCTGGTGTTACATCAGCACTGTCTTCTGCATGGTGTGGTGGCTGCTGCAGCAGCTCTGAACTGACAGCTGCAGTGAGGACAACTGGCCTCTTGACTCAGCACTGGGGAGGCCCAAACTTGAATCCTGGGGTCAGTTTTGGGCCCCTCACTCCAAAAAGGACCTTGAGGGGTTGGAGCGTGGCCAGAGAAGGGCAACGGAGCTGCTGGGGAAGGGTCTAGAGCCCAAGTGTGGGGAGGAGCAGCTGAGGGAGCTGGGGGTGCTGAGCCTGGAGCAAAGGAGGCTCAGGGGAGACCTTCTGGCTCTGCACAGCTCCTGACAGGAGCCTGGAGCCAGGGGGGGGTCGGGCTCTGCTCCTAAGGAACAAGGGACAGGACAAGAGGAAACAGCCTCAAGTTGCCCCAGGGGAGGTTGAGGTTGGCCCTGAGGAACAATTTCTTGCCCTGGAGGGTTGCCCAGGGCTGTGCCAGGCTGCCCAGGGCAGTGGTGGAGTCCCCACCCCTGGAGGGGTTTCCAGGCTGTGGAGATGTGGGGGGAGGGACACGGGGCAGTGGGGACCTGGCAGTGCTGGGGGTGGTTGGACTGGATGATCTGAAAGGTCTCTTCCCACCAAAACATTTCTGTGATCCTGTAGGTGAGTTTGAAGCCAAGGCAGGCAGGACTTGCACACCCTGGGGGACCTGCCCTGTTGCTGTAGCTGTGCAGGCTGCTGCATGTAACAGACATCAAGACATCAGGAACCACTTTGACATCCCAGGACCACTATAATGAAGCCACCTTAGGATATTCCTCAGCCCTGCCCAGGCCTAATTGCTTTTGTTTTGCAGAACTGCTGAGGTCCAGAACACTGAGACAGCTGAAGATACCAAAGTGGAGAGATGTCAGATGGACACACTTGGTCCCAAAGGTCAGTGGAAAGAATTTTGAGTTACTGTGATATGCATAAAATTATTATTATTGAAAGGAGAGGAATTTCTCCAACCATAACAATGGAAGAAGAAACTCAAATTGCAGGATGGTTTGTCCAGAAGTGTCTTGAACTTTGACTTTAAAGCTTGGGTGTGCTTCAAGGAGTAACATGGGTGGTGGTGCTGCCTGGTACTTCTGAAGCAGGTAGTGACATGCTGCTTGCAGTCCTCCTTAAGGGACAAAAAACCCCAAAGCAGCACCGTGGAAGCTGCCACCTCACCAGGGTGAGAGCTCTGAGGCAGCAAAGCAGGTTGGAGGGGGATGGAGGTGGGAAATGGTTCAGAAAATGTTAAAGTGCTTCAGAGGCTTCATCTGCTAGTCCTGGTGGAAAACCCTGGGAGTCAGATGAGAACTTGCCAAGAATAAAAAATCCAAAAAGGGAGGTGGGAGGAGGGGCTGATACTGGTATTTAGGATTCTGTGAATGCAGGAAGCTGTTTTTAGCTGGAAGATGCTGAATGCTTCTCTGTCAAAGCAGCCTCCTCACCTCCTGCCTCCAGCTTGTGGACAACCCGACGAGATGGAGAGGTGAGGCTGAGGATGGAGGAGCAGGGCCCAGGCAGTGAGGTGCCAAAGACTGTCCACGAGCTGCTCCAGGAGGCTCTCAGGAAATACAGGGACTATTATGCCCTTGCCTCCAAGAAGGGTGGCCAGTGGGTTAAACTCACATACCAGGAGTACTACGACGAGTGCTGGAAAGCAGCAAAAAGCTTTCTGAAGGTAAGATTTTTTTGCTGATTTCTCCTCGTTCCCATTCAGTTGGTTTAATGGCTGAGGTGGCTGTGGGCAGCTCGAGCTCAGCCCTGCAGGTTCCTTGAGTGGAGGGGAGTCTTGAAGTGAGAGGGAAGGAGCTGAACATGCCATGAACAGCTCAGTGATCACCACAGGGGTTTTCTTTGAGTTTCTTCTAAGTTGGTTCCACGTTCAACTCATAAAGTGTGTAAGGAAACACTGGGATGGAGGTGTTGGAGGTTATGGAGGACCTGGGCAACACCCCTCATGAGGTGTGTACATTTAATCTAAGAAAAGAAACTTGAAGGGTTGCTTATGAATCTGAAATGTCTGAACTGGGTGAACCTTTTCCCTAAGATGCTGGGAGTTAAGACACTCAGAGACAGAAAGCAGAGCTACGTGTCCTTACTGGTGTCATCATGAAGTCTTATGTCATGAAGTTGGAGCATCTCTGTGCCCAGGACAGGCTGAGAGCCCTGGGGCTGTCCAGCTGGAGAAGCCTCAGAGGGGATCTGATCAATGCTGAGCAAGAGCTAAAGGGCCCCCGGGGGGCAAGAGGCTGGGGCCAGACTCTGTCAGTGGTGCCCAGAGACAGGACAAGGGGCAACGGGCACCAACTGGAACCCAGGAGGTGCCACCTGAGCAGGAGGAGAAACTTCTTTGGGGTGAGGGTGCAGAGCCTGGAGCAGCTGCCCAGAGAGGCTGTGGAGTCTCCTGCTCTGGAGAGATCCCAAACCCTCCTGGCTGTGACCCTGGGCACCCTGCTGGTGGTGAGCTGCTGGAGCAGGGGGTTGGAGGAGATGATCCCCAGAGGTCCCTTCCAGCACCCCCCAGGCTGGGATTCTGTGAAGTTAAGGCCAGTCTGGTTTTATGGCTGTGGTGGAATCTTCCAGTCTGGGACCTTCCACTCTGGGACAAAACCAGAGAATGGCTGAAGGGATTTAAAGCCTGGGACTTCAGCAGCTGGAATTTCATAGCAAAGTGCCTCTGACTGACACTGGAGTTCATTGCTCTGCTCATTGCTTGTCTGCCACCTCTAACCTGTGCTCAACCACTAAACATCTCAGTAGGTGATGTTGAATTAACCTCTTACCTTCTCATTCCCAGCACAAAGGTAGTTGGCAGCTCCCTGGCTTGCAGGATTTAGGACCATTAGTGCCAGTGAGCTCATCACTCCACTGGCAGACCTCAGCAAACCCTTTTTTTCCTGCCTGCTGACAAAGTGGGACAGGATCTGCTGTGAAACCAAACTGGTTCCATATTAGAGCTCGAGAAGTTTTTCAGCCTGAACGACCAATCTTCAGACACACGAATTTTTCCCTTGACGTTGTGCTTGCAGCAGAGCTCTCTGAATGAACTGGAAGCATCCTTCAGAGGAAAACCAAGACTGCTGTAACCTCTTCTTGTGTTCACAGCTGGGGCTGGAGCGTTTCCATGGCGTGTGCATCTTGGGATTTAATTCTGCAGAGTGGTTTATTGCTGACATCGGCGCTATCCTGGCAGGGTAAGAGCAAGTGCTGCCTCTGGACGTGCATTCTGCTTTAGCCTTGGGATTGTAATTCCAGTATCCATGAGAGAAGCAGTTTGTTATTAAAAAAAAAACACAAAATAATCTCCCAGAACAAAACCAGCTGCTTATATTTGAGTTCAGTGCAGAGAGCTGGAATCAAAACCCTTCCCTGCGAATTAATGAGACAAAAATTAAAGGGTTTTTCTCTGAGCTAGGTGGTTCTTTCAGAGGTCAATCCAAAAGCATGTTCACTGACACCATGATCCAAAATGCCATGGGAAATGCCAGAGAATCACAGCACTGAATTTTGACAGTCTTTTTCCACATCCCCTTGTGCCATGCTGACATTTCCCTTACCCCAGAGCAGACCCTTCAGTCTTGGAATAAAACCCTCCACTCATGGTTTTCTGGGGTATTCTTCCTCAAGTTTGAATTCAGAAGTAGTCTGAATTTTGCCAGCAGCTCTGCTCCTCCTCTAATTCTGGGTTTTGCTCTTCTGCTTGTTTCTCCTTCCCTTCCTTTGGCAGTGGCTTTGCTGTTGGGATCTACACCACCAACTCTCCCGAGGCCTGTCGCTACGTAGCAGAGAACTGCAGTGCAAATGTGGTGGTTGTGGAAAACCACAAACAGCTGCAGAAGATCTTAGAGGTAAAATAACACTTTTTTTAAATGCCATCCACTTCCAGGAGGGGAGGGTCAGGCTGAGGGAAACGCTGGGTCTGGAAGCAGAGGTGAACTGACTGAGCCTGCTTGGTCTGCTCCCCGTTCAAGCCAGATGAACAGTCACTAGTGTTGAGTCTACAGGAGGTTAAATGGTGGTTCCACAGCTTGGCAAAGCCTTGAGCTTAAAATAGGAGCAGCCAAAATGAACAGTTGAGCATCCCCAACATCCCCATCCACATGATTACTGTCTCCAGTGAGCCTGCCCTGTGCTCTTCCAGCTCCAGCTCCAGCAGGAGCAGCACATTGGGTGTGGATTTCTTAGCCTTAAAAGGGACAAGAAGGATTTTCTCCTTCTCATGACTCTCCCTCCTTAACACAGGTTCAGGATAAGCTACCTCAGCTGAAAGCCATTGTCCAGTATGGGGAAGAGCTAAAAGAGAAGAGACCAAACCTGTACTCGGTGAGTGTCTTGGGGGCCTGTGGCTCCTGGCTGTGTTTAGCTGGTGGCTTGAAGCCACTGTCACACTCCCACCTCCCACTGTCCTCCTGGGAGCTCCTGTTGGTTTTAGGGAGGGATTGCTCTCCTCGCTGGAGCAGCAGATGTTGTTCAAACCTTGCTAATCCCTGTTGGAAGGGAGGGTGTCTGTGTGCTGACCTCTGCAAGGCAGCCTCAGGCCCCAGGGTGGCTCCAGCTCAGCACTCCCAGGGTGGCTGCAGAGCTGGTAACCACCCTCAGGGTGGATCTGTCTCCTCCTCTCCTCCCACCACACCTCTCATGGCAGCCAGAAAACATTGGGACACTGTGGGGGGGTGACAGTGCATGTGTACAACCTCTTCCAGACTCTGCCAGGGGTTTGGATGCAGGGAAAAGTTCCCTTTGTGTGTAGCAGAGGGTTTAATTTCCCAAGTGAATGATGGCCTGCAAAGTGACCGAGCTCTTCTATATACAGTGGAGTGAGTTCATGGAGCTGGGCAAAGATGTTCCAGATGCTCAGCTCCAGGAGATCATCAAGTCCCAGAAGCCCAACCAGTGCTGCACACTGATCTACACCTCAGGGACCACGGGGCAGCCCAAGGGAGTGATGCTCAGCCACGACAACGTAAGTGGAGACCCAAGAGGGACGTGGTTTGGTGGTGACCTGGCAGTGCTGGGCTCTCAAAGATCTCCTCCAAGCCAACCCATTCTGATGCTGTGCTTGCTGAGGAGCCCCGAGGACGGTCGGAGGCTCGTCCTGGGAGCTGCACGTCCTGTGCCTGCTCAGAAGAGCTGTCCCTGAGCACTGCTCTGGGTTCCTCCTGCAGCTGACGTGGACGGCGTCGATGGCTGGACGTTTCCTCATGCTGGAGGAGGCCCAGGAGAAGCAGGAGCTGGTGATCAGCTACCTGCCCCTCAGCCACATCGCCGCGCAGATGACGGATATCTGGACAGCAATCACCTTCGGGGTGCAGGTCTTCTTTGCTCAGCCAGATGCATTAAAGGTAAAAATAACCCCCCAGAAGCTAAAAATCCTACACCCCCAGAGCTGCTGGTAGCCACCACCTTGGCTGATTGCTCTCAAGCTTCTGTGCTGAGGGGGTTCATCTGTGTGGTCACTGAGTGACTGCTCCTGTTTAAGGGTCCGTTGGGTTGACAAACATGACCTGACCTTTGCCTCTGTCACCAGCTCAGCTGAGCTGACCAAGCACTTCACAACTCAGAGCTTCTTGGTGTCTCACCTGACAGCAGTTCTCCACCCCCACAGCTTGGTTGAGCAATGGTTTGGTGTTTGCTCTGTCCCCTTGCAAAATGCCCCCACCATTCAGCCTGGGTCCTGAGAAGGGAACGATTCATCTCGGTGCTGTGCCAGTGTTGGCAGGGGAGGTGTTGACTTCTTGAAGCCCCTGTGGCATCCGAGTGCTCCTGGGGTCCCTTTCTCTCGTGGAGGAGCATGGCAAGAAGGGGGCTGGTGTTGTCCAGTGCTGCTGCTTTGTTTGCATTCAACAAGAGGGGCTGAAAATGAGCAGTTCCTCCAAATTCCTGGCCAAGTCCTAGCCCTGTGGCTAGCGACCAGTGCTGACCTGAAGCCTACAGCAAAGCCCTTTCTGAAAGCTGTATTCAATTCTCCTTTTCTCAGGGCTCCTTGGTAGACACCCTGCGGGAGGTGAGGCCAACTGCTTTCCTGGGAGTGCCTCGTGTCTGGGAAAAAATAGAAGAAAAAATGAAATCCATAGGGGCAAAATCCTCAGCACTCCGGAGAAAAGTGGCCTCGTGGGCCAAGGGAGTTGGGCTGCAGACAAACCTGAAGCGGATGAACGGGTGGGTACGAGCAGCACTCCAGGGGTCTTGTAAATATTGGGGTTTTGCTGCTGGATCAGGAATTTTATCCTGTGTAACAGGCCAGGCTTACAAAGAGTAAGAGCCAAACGTTGCGCTGGCACCAGGGCGTGAGCAGCAAGGGCTGGGGGGAGCCTTGGACTCTTTTATTGAATAAACTAGAGCAGGATGAAGATGAAAGAGGGAAGGGAAGAAGTTCCCCCTGCTGCCTGAGCTGTTGTAACCCCATTTACCTCCTGCAGGTCTTCTGAAGTCCCCCTGAACTTCCGCTTGGCCACGCACTTGGTGTACAGGAGGGTGCGACGGGCCGTGGGGCTGGACCGCTGCACGAGGTGCTACACGGGGGCTGCTCCCATCACCAGGGAGACCCTGGAGTTCTTCCTGAGCCTCAACATTCCCTTGTTCGAGCTCTATGGCATGAGTGAGAGCTCAGGGCCTCACACGGTGTCCCTGCCTCAGGCCTTCAGGCTCACCAGGTAAAGGGTTCTCGGGGAGCAGAGTGCTGCTGGTGGGAGCTGGAGCTGCTCTGGGTTTTCTCCTGCCTGGCCTGTCCATCTCCCCCCAGGCTCTTGCTGCCAGTGGAATGTTGATAGGGAGCCAATTCCTTTAGCTGATGAAGAGTTCTGCTGGGGACATAGGTCCTGTTACTTAATTTTAACTTGGCCTGCATCCTCCAAGGAACTGAGGAGGAAGCAAAGGACTCATGGGAAGAAGGGAGAATTAGTATCTCCAGCCTACAGGTCACTTTAAGGCCACATGAGTAACTGCAGCAAGACTCTGCTGTTGCTTTGAACAGCTTGTTCAGTCCCTGTGGGCTCAGTCTGCAGAGTGAATGCCACCAACAGTAAAAGTTTGCTGCCAAGGGCATAAATCTTCTCATTGAAAGCTCAGGTGTCGGAGAACAATGGGTGGGGAGCTCCGGGTGTGTGAGCTACAGCATGATCTCTGCAATACCAGCTCTCCTGCAGCTCCCCTTCCAGGAGCAGATGCCTTTTAAGTTTCTCAGTCCCTTGCTGAAGGAGGTGTAATAAAAAGCTGCCTGGCTTTGTTCAGACACTTCAGCCTGAGAGGGCTCTGCTGTAATCTCAGCTGCTGCTCGCCTGGGGGCTCTGCTGTGTGTTTTCAGTGCCTTGGCTTTGTGTCCCTGCTCTCTCTCAGCTGTGGGAAGGAGATCACAGGCTGCAGGACGCTGATCCAGGAGCCAGACAGCGATGGCAACGGGGAGATCTGCTTCTCAGGAAGGCACATCTTCATGGGCTACCTCAACATGGAAGGGAAAACCAAAGAAGCAATTGATGAGGAGGGCTGGCTGCACTCGGGCGACCTCGGCAGGCACGATAAAGATGGGTTCCTCTATGTCACAGGCAGGATTAAAGGTAACACCTCCCCTGCCTTGGGTGGCCTGAGCTTGCACAGAGTGAGGAGGTGACACCTTCAGACCCTGCTGGTTCTGTGGCTTGCTCAGAAGAGGACTTCAGTGCTTCTCCTTGTGAAGTGTTTGATGTGAATAGGGCTGCAGGGTGTCCTGCTGCTGGGCAGGGTGTGTGATGGGAGCAGAGGGGTGAGCTCTGAAGGCAGCGTGCTGCAGAGCCAGGAAGCAATTCTCAGAGCAGTGCTTGATGTTTGCTGGCTTGTTTGGCAGCACTGCACCTGGACCTGTGTGTGCTGCCAGCTCCCTGCCCTTTCAGCCTGGCTGGTTACCCCCTGAGAGAAAACAGCAGCTCAGCACCGTTGGGAAATCACCTGCAGCAACACAGGTCCTGGGCCACCCCTGTGACAGCCCCAAACAAACCTGAGGTGCTCCCAAACTGCAAACATCTCCGTGGTGTTCAGGCAGCTCTTGCAGTGCTGTCTGTCTGCACCTCTGCCTCACCTCTCCTGGCCTGGCTGGAGCCCTGCTGCTGGGCTGCCTACTCCAGAGGCTGGGACACAGTCACTGTTTGATCTGGTAGACACAAAGGATGCCATCCAGGGGGACCTGGGCGAGCTGGAGAAGTGAGACTGTGTGATCCTCATGAGGTTCAACAA